CTCAATCGCTTGGTTTGGGCGTATAGGGTGGTCTACAGTGGCGGAGAAATCAACGATCTCGCTGAACTCAGGCACCGAATCACGGTCGCGTGGCAGAATCTCTCGATGGCGCTCGTCCAGAAGGCTGTGGCGGAGTGTCATGATAGTATTTAATATGCTCTTCAATATGGTAGAAATGTCCGATAAGAATTTAATAAAGTGTAACTTATAGCGCCTCGAAAGTCAAGGAAGAAAAAAGTTTTTTTGGCATCCCCTGTTTGTAATTGCTGCTTGTGATAGTGCGCTGGAGAGGAACCTACCCCCACTTTCCATCCTCCCTCACCACCATCACTGCTTCCCATCAAGGACAGTCTCTTGGGGAAATTTGAAGAGTTTTGAAATATTGTTAGAGACTTGGGCAGGATGGCGACTAGGCTGGGAAGAGGAGTCGCATCAGAACAGAAAACTTTAGGGAGGGTCGTACTCGAAGAGTAGCTCTCGGTGAAGGGGGCCATAGTGAGACTCATTTCACTCAACTCGATGCTGTACCCTGTTGTTGACGCGGCGACTTTTTTTGCTCCACAACTTTTTGTTTGTTGTGGTCTAGTTTAGAAGCGCTTTAGTGGGAGCAAAAAAAGTAGGGTTCGGTAACACCCTTCTAATCGTTCTACTGTTTACTGTCTGGAACTGAAGTTGCGGCACATTCCTTAAAGCTACACAACTGAAATTCCGAAATGTTCAGTGAAATCCTTTCCTATCTTTAATACAAAGTTTCAGATCGGCCCTACAAGAGAAACTCCAGTCATTCAATAACGAAATGAATGAAAAGAAGGAAACAATCAAGAAATTGGAAGAAGAACTCGTTGGGCTTCGAAGCGAGAAGAAAAAGTTGGAATCGAGAGCATCTGTAGCAGACGAGCTCAATACCCTGATGTCTTCGCTGTCAGCAGTTCGTGCGGAGAATGGGTACGGTATTTTTAGCCTGAGGATCCAAAATAAGATGTCCAAGGAATCGGCGTTCATCGTATGGGCGGAGTCAGTTGAGCAAGTGCATATTTCTGGTTGGTGGGCCCCTTCTTGAAACGACGACCAGGAGGAGCGCACCAATGAGGAAGTCTGACGGTCTAGGTAACTTCGCTCGTGTGATTATCGCGGAGTTCGCTTTTAATCCTCAGAAATTAGACGTTCAAAAAATGAATGGTGTCAGCAATATAATGCAAATCGGTTTTCAGACAATATCAAGAAGAGATTTCGAGCTCGCACGAACAAGTCCGAGAAGTTAAAGAAGAACTGGAGCGATCTATGGAAGAATGTGAGGAATGGAAAGGACGGTTTGAGACCGTCGAGAGAGAAAAGGAAATGATGGAGAAGCAGATTAATACTGAGAAGGAGAGGTGAGCAGTTTTTCTATCTCGAGCTTTATGCTTTCTGAGGATTCGAGGGGGTGTAGCTCAAATAGCGTCATGACGTCAGGCGCATTTTAAAAGGTGCACTTCCATCTGAACCTTCATCTCTCCGGGTGTGCCATTGTTGCCAAGCTGTTTCGGGAGGACAGAACACCAACTTGCTGGTTGACACTAGCAGTTCATTTTGTAGGCACTATGTACAAACTGTAAAAAAGGCGTGGCGCAACCCACACGAAATCGATTACTATAAGAATCTTTTGCCTTCCTTTTTTCTGAACGCTATCCTTCCTTTAGGGGCATAAATTTCTGGAAAACTTTCTTTTTTGATACATGAGCTCGCTTTTCTCTGTTGGCAGGGTTTCGAATCTTTAGGGAGGATTGCCTGGCACAAATATGGAAGGCTAGCTTACTCCACATACATTTTTACACCAGCGGCCTCGCTAGCTTGCGCAGCATGTCCTGCCTTTGGAGAAAACATCGTGAAATACGTCCCCCCCTCCCAAAAAGTTTTCCTCTACTACGACCCCCCTATCCCTAATACCCCTAATACCTACAATATTCCTAAATTTCCTCAAGGTTTTACCCCGAAAAACTGCCGACGAGCGGGTAGAAGGGGGCGAATACGGTTTCTAGCAACCAAACACAACTCCCCTTCGTTCTTGCGAGGGATCCCAACGTACGACGTGCCCTGCTCACTTGTGGCGGTCGTATTACAATGCTCGCTCGTGACCGCACGCACGGGCCTCGCATATGTTGCACAAGCACGAAACAGAAGGAAATTCTGTGGCAAATTAGTCAAAAAACATCCCATTACCCATTACAAGAACAACTGTAGTTATAATCCTCCCAAAATTATCCAAGAGTTCTGTGTCATGCGCACAACATTTTTCCCGCTCCAATGGCAGGGCATGATGTGATGGTAATACATTTCCCCACGCATGAGATACGGGTCTGAGTCCGCGTTGGATCGGGCGTAGTACCCAAACAGCGCGAAGTCTGCCTTAAAGTCTTCAAAGTGAGATGCCTTCCAAAAACTTTCTCATTAACTTGTGATATACCGATAAGTTTACTTTGGTTCTGGAAGGGATCGTAGTAAATTGCGAATTTACAGACTCATCGCTCTGGCGTCGTCAGAAGAATCTCACAAGGTGCATGAGGCGGAGTTGGAATCCACTACAACCAAGCTGGAAGCAGAAAACTATAAACTAAAGGGCGAGACGCGAGAGTTGCATGCTGAGCTGGAAAGGGTGCAAAATGAGCAGAAGGTTATGGAGGAGGAGTCAGCGAGGAAGCTTCGTGAACTCACCGAGAAATGCGAGGCCATCCAAAAAGAAGCCGATACTAGTCGTTCCAAGGTTGGACAATTAGAAGGTAAGGGAGCGATTGGAACGGTGTTCGGCTTAGGGAAGGGGTAAGAGAACTAATTTTTCCAAATCGTTAGCTTCTCTTACAGGTATTTCTTATCTTACTCGTTCACCCTGGTAAGACCTGTGGACTCTTGTAAAGCGTGAACGAAGCTCGTTCCATTACATAGCTTCACAAGAGTTACAGACACAGGAGCCATCAGCAATGACCGATGTGAGCGAGCAGAATGCCCCCACCAAGCCGAACTACGTCGCGATTTTTGCACCGCTGTTCGGCGCATCATATGTGATGTACTTTATTTCCAGAAGAGCACCATCGTTTCCGCGACGCCGTAGCGGAGGAGAAGAGGAAACTTATAGAAATCACAGAGGAACAAGGGGCAAAGGTCTGTGGTAAAAAACAGTTCTGCACTTGGAGGCTTCACTACCTCTTCCTTTCTTGCCAAGCCGAGCTTTTCTTTCAGGTAGAGGAACTCCAGGAAGAAGTGGCTGAGTTCAAGAAAAAGTTGAAAGCAGCCCAAGAGGTTTCGGTAGCAGAGGTGGAACGATATGAAGCAGCACGGACAAGACTGGCTGAAGTCGAAAGAGTATGTCTCCCTTATTAAGCTTCTTCAAATGCATATTTCACGCTGATTCCCTGGGCGTAGTCTCCTCATCTGCACCTTCCTAGCTTTTGCCCTCCTCCTATTTGCTATTTTGGAGCGATCTTGCCCTCGAACAAAAACTCTTCACCGACTTCAAACAATGAAGACTTCTCTCAGGACTCATCCCAATTTCAGGAATACGAGGAGATGAAGACCAGCCTACGGAGTATTCAAGGAGTTTCCAATCCATCTGCTGATAAACTGTATGAAAGCGAGAACTTTGCCATTCGGATAAAGCAGCAGCTGGAAGAACTTGAGAAGGAAAAAGCGGCCAGATTGCAAGAGATGGCAGCTGAGCACAGAGCTCACCAGGAGCGGTTAGTGACCATAGCGTCAAATTTTATTTTTTTTATTTCTTTTTATCCGTTATCCGTTGAGGGGACGTGATTAGGTGCCCCCGTTGTTGCTCGAGGCCCGCGGGGATATGGTGAGATTGGCTCAAGCGACCCTAATCATCTGCATTCTCACAGAGAAGGCACTGGCATCGCGAGTGGGTACTGTATGCGCGTCGCTCCCAGAGCGAGTTCCACCAGCGCCAAGCTGTCACTGCCTCGGGAGGAGACGGGTCCACAGCCTACTTGAACTCAATTTCTTTATCCGCGTTTTCCTATGTTCCTCGCACTCTGTTCTGAATGGCGTTCTGTCACCACCGTGATCTCACGCTTTCCATTTTTCACTTATGATGACTTATGATGGATGGCTTGTCCATCCCAATCTCCCCCCTTCCTGACAAGGACCCACTCCTGGCTCGCCATTTTTTTTGTCGCTCGATCCTTTGGCAGACGCTGGCTTTTAGCTGTTTGCATTCATAATTTCGCAACAGGGCCATTCATAGTCACGTAACCGAGGGGATACAGAAGGGCGCGCTTAGTCGGACTCCTCCCGCTCTCGCCACTGCTGCAGCGCGCTTTGGTGTTCCACGCATCGGGTATAAAGCTAATTGTATATAATGCGAAAGCTGCCTTGTCTCTCAGTAAAGTGCTGCTATTAATATTTGTCATTCAGGCTGGAGAAGCGAATAGAAGACATGGAAACTGCGAGGCATGAACAGATCAAAGAGTTGCAAAACCAGAAGCGCGAAACGGAGGAACTCTACCAGAAACGCCTGGAAGATGCGGAGAAACGTCTGCAGGACGCCGTCGAAGCACATCAAGTTGAGATTGCAAAGTTCGAAGCAACGTTGAGGGAGAAGACGTCGGAGCCCAAGAGGGAACTTGAAGAATTGCGGAAGTCCAGCGCAGAAATGACAGCCTCTCACATTGAGCAATGTGAAAAGCTGAATAAGAAGGTAAGGGCCTGTGCCATT